AACATGCTTGCATTGTGTTTGCTTGAAACTTGTCTCAGGGGTTTCCATAATTGGAATACTCACTGTATCCCATTTATGGAGACACTATGTATTTGCTTAAAGGGTATCTAGTGTGTTCATAGGGGATCCTGAGTGTGTATGTCAGAAATGTAGTGTGTGTGTAAGTGGTGCAGCATCTGTGTGTAGGTGATCTAGTGTGTGTTTGAAGGACTCAGGAGTGCGTATAGGAGATCTAGTGAGTGTGTGAGTGGTGCAGTGTGTTTGGGGGGTGCTGTGTGTGAGGGGTGTAGTGTGCATTTGTGAGGAGTATAGTGTGTGTGGGAGGGTGCTGTGTGTGTGGGGTGGTGCAGTATGTGTGCGGGAGGGTGCAGTGTGTGGGGGTGCAGTATGTGTGTGTGAGGGTGCTGTGTGTGAGGGTGCTGTGTGTGAGGGTGCTGTGTGTGAGGGCACTGTGCGAGGGTTCTGTGTATTTGAGGGTGCTGTGTGAGTGAGGGTGCTGTGTGTGTTGGGGTGCTGTGTGTGTTGGGGTGCTGTGTGTGTGTTGAGGTGCTGTGTATGTGTTGGGGTGATGTGTGTGTGTTAGGGTGATGTGTGTCTGTTAGGGTGCTGGTGTTAGGGTGCAGGTGTTAGGGTGCTGTGTGAGTGTTAGGGTGCTGTGTGAGTGCTACGGTGCTGTGTGTGTGTTAGGGTGCTGTGTGTGTGTTAGGGTGCTGTGTGAATGTTAGGGTGCTGTGTGAGTGTTAGGGTGCTGTGTGAGTGCTACGGTGCTGTGTGTGTGTTAGGGTGTTGTCTGTGAGGGTGCTGTGTGTGAGGGTGCTGTGTGTGAGGGTGCTGTGTGTGAGGGTGCTGTGTGTGAGGGCACTGTGCGAGGGTTCTGTGTATTTGAGGGTGCTGTGTGAGTGAGGGTGCTGTGTGTGTTGGGGTGCTGTGTGTGTTGGGGTGCTGTGTGTGTTGGGGTGCTGTGTGTGTGTTGGGTTGCTGTGTATGTGTTGAGGTGCTGTGTATGTGTTGGGGTGATGTGTGTGTGTTAGGGTGATGTGTGTCTGTTAGGGTGATGTGTGTCTGTTAGGGTGCTGGTGTTAGGGTGCTGGTGTTAGGGTGCTGTGTGAGTGTTAGGGTGCTGTGTGAGTGCTACAGTGCTGTGTGTGTGTTAGGGTGCTGTGTGTGTGTTAGGGTGCTGTGTGAGTGCTACGGTGCTGTGTGTGTGTTAGGGTGCTGTGTGTGTGTTAGGGTGCTGTGTGAGTGCTACGGTGCTGTGTGTGTGTAGGGTGATGTGTCAATGTTAGGGTGCTGGTGTTAGGGTGCTGTGTGTGTGTTGGGGTGCTGGTGTTAGGGTGCTGTGTGAGTGCTACGGTGCTGTGTGAGTGCTACGGTGCTGTGTGTGTGTAAGGGTGCTGTGTGTGTGTTAGGGTGCTGTGTGTTACGGTGCTGTGTGAGTGCTACGGTGCTGTGTGTGTGTTAGGGTGCTGTGTGTTAGGGTGCTGGTGTTAGGGTGCTGTGTCAATGTTAGGGTGCTGGTGTTAGGGTGCTGTGTGTGTGTGTGTTGGGTGAGGGTGATGTGTGTGTTTGCAAGGATTTTGTATTGGGGGGAGACAGGTAGGTGTTTTACTAAAAAATAATATTAATAAATACATAATAATAATAAATATATAATATTAATAAATACATAATAATAATAAATACATAATATTAATAAATACATAATATCTCCCCCTCCCCCACCCCTTCCATTCTTACCTGTATCCTGGAAGGGGGCGGGTGGGGGGGTCGTGCTCCTGCCAGCCATCCCTGGTGGTCCTCGTGGTAAGTCCTCGCGAGACCCGGCCGGTTGCCATAGCAACGGTCCGGATCTCGCGAGAGAAACCCGGCGGAGCTGCAAGTTAGAGCTCCGCCGGGTCCTCTCTCCTGGCGGCTGTCTCCCTCCCTCTCTCCCTGCCGGCGGCCGCGTTTGAGCGCATGTGGGCCGGTGAGGGAGATCTTTGATCTCCCCACCGGCCCTCCATGGAAAACAGCGGGGCCGGCGCTCGGATAGCGCCGGCCCTGCATAGACAGGCAGGAGAGATCCTAGGACCTCCCCTGCCGGCCTCGGCCCATGGCCACCGCGGCCCACCGGGCATTTGCCCGGTGTGCCCGATGGCCAGTCCGGGCCTGGTCTTGTGTACAAAAACATCATATATTATATCAAATAAGCAGCGCAAGTGGATCTGAAGAAATATCTGAAGAAGAGATTGTCAAAACTATGTTGCGCAGCAGACCTTGAGGTCTATGACTTTGACCCATATTGATGTCAGATGCAATAAACTGTGCTTATACATCCGTTTTAAGATTCTTGTAAAAGTAGTGTGGTAGTAGTGCATTTTATTGGCATATAAAAAAGTGGTGTAAGAATAATAATATGGACAGTCAGAAAAGGCCCATCAACTTCATCTCTTGGACAAAAGTAGCAAATGGATTGAATTTACTAAAGGATTAAGGAAATGTAACTATTGCTCAGGTTTATCATTTATAGCAACCGAAATTCATCCACTAATCAGCCACAACATTAAAAGCACCTGCCCAATAACTTGTAGGTCTCACTTGTGCTGCCAAAATAGCTTTATATATTGAAATATTATATACACTGACCAACCAAAGTATCTCTGATGCATTGAGGCATGGACTCTACAAGACTTCTGCATGTGTCTTGTGGTAAATGGAACCAAGACATTAGCAGCAGATCATTTAGGTCTTGCAAGTTGAGGTGGTACCTCCATGGGTTGGATTTGTTGTTTCAGCACATCCCACAGATGCTCAATCAGATTTAGATCTGGGGAGTTTGGAGGCCAAGGCAACACATTGAACTCTTTGTCAGGTTTCTCAAACCATTCCGACTTGATAAAGACGCGGTAGGGTGGAAACATTACTGCTTTTGAACCGTTAATTATTCTACATATTAAACCATTCATTAAATATTTTTTTTTTGCAGTGTGGCAGTGTGCATTATCCTGCTGAAAGAGGGGTGCATTTTTCCTGTTTTCAAAACACGAAGTTCAAGAACTGACTGTTCACTTGCTGATGATGATTGGACATCCACAGGTAGTCTGGGCTGTGGAAGATGGAGAGGGCGTGCAAAGCTGTTTTTAGCTATACCACCAATCAAAAGATGCATAACTAAATAGTTTATCTACTAAGTAGAGATTTAAAAAAAAAACAAGTAGAGCGTCCATTAAGTAATTATATTTGTATTTATTATATATGTATTAAGTACATAATACATAAAAATAGATTTTCTTACCTCCTATTTTTTTCTTCTATTAGTCATGTTTTCTCACTTGATCTGTGAACCAACTGGCACAAAAATTTACCTATTAGTATACTGCCAAAAATAGGCCTGACATTTATATCATGATATTTATATTATGTATTTTTGTGCCATTTTGGTTTGTCTGTATTGTATTCCCAAATATTTTTGCAGAAACAATTTACAAATGAGCTGAAACTCCACGTGAATAACTATCGGATTACCTGAACTTTTTTGTTGTTGTTGGATGAAGTGTTTTGGCTGAATTTAATTTTTTTTTTCACTGTGCATAAGTCTAATTAATGACAATATGAAATCAAAGTGCAAAAGTAAAATATCAAGTACTTCGATCGGCAACAAAATATACTCTCCTTTTATCTTTCTCACTTTTTGGGAACACCATGCACCTGAAGAATTGAAGAAACCTTTTAATGGATTGTGATTGTTTGCAAAATGCATCTAAATTGCATGTTTGTTATATTTAACTGTGTTTAAATTAATTTTCCCTTTTTACACATAAAGCATGTGAACATCAAATTATATAGCTTGTAATCCTGAATAAAGCAACAATGCTTAGGCAAGAAGATGTCTGATAGAAAGATGTTGAAGATACATGCATTATTTATATTTTTGGCTTTAAGGACATTTCAGAGCATGTATATAATTCTATAGTGTGTACAGAATGTATCTGATATTTGAATGGTGAAATGGATTTATACATTAATATTCATTTTAGCACATTAATTTATATCACACTTTAAATATCAAGTACGTAAGATCTTATATATTATCATATTATTGCAATTTAGGTGGATTTGTGATGGCTAGTGAATTGCAAAAAGAGTGTTTAAATGGACAGGTTGGGTGGCGAAAACCTAATCCTATAGCAGTTTATTGTTTATTATTATTTGAGAATTATTCATTTTAATTATTTTCACATTTAAAACCAAGCATATAATATGCATGTTAAATGAATGTTAGATTTGTATAACAACATTTTAGAAAGTTCTATATACTGTTGAAGCTATTGGATGAAAAAAGATGTCCCTTAATATTGACTCAATCTGTTTTGATGAAATGAAACAATAAACACGTTAAAGCAGCTCTGTATTGCCCTCGGCAATTGCTAGTAATGGCTGAGGGGAAGAAGGCTCTGTCTATGAAGGATCCTTAATATTATTATTATTATATTTATATAGCGCCAACAAATTTCATAGCGCTTTACAATGGGTGGAATAACAAACATGTAATTGTAACCAGACAAGTTTGACACACAGAAACAGAGGGGTTGAGGGCCCTGCTCAATGAGCTTACATGCTAGATGGAGTGCAGTAAAGTGACACAAAAGAAAAGAGAAGTATTAGGGAAATAGATTGGTAGAATAGTATTTAATGAAGACTAAATGAGGGCTTTTTTCGAGCTCTTTCACAATCCCCTCTTTTGATCCACGGGTCACCAAATGTCCAAGGTATTTCCAGGCCTGCTTCACCATGGTTCCCTTGGACTGAGAGACCACCAGAATCAGCTGAGGAGAGTTCCTTTATTTGTTAGGCGAGGTAACATTGTAAAAACCTTCCAAAGTCAGAGTTGGAAGGTAAGTTAAGGTATGACCAACAGTAGATTTGTTTTTACATAGAGAGGTTAGTAGACATGAGAAGAACATGAGAAAAATACAGCTAATAGCAAAAAGTACAACATTTTCTTAATTAGAAAAGTCAATCCCAATCCCAAAAGAAGCCAGTATCCTGTTTGATAACCTGTACTAAGTCATGTAAATCTTTTATATGTTTATGGATCATAGTGCCATGGTCAGATAGGTTAAAACAGCACATACCTTCAATACCTTCACAGCCTAAGTCATGTTTCATTAGTAAGTTGCCAATGGCTGCTGTGTTCTCAAGGATTGCCTTCTTATTTGCCTGGGTGTCCATAAGTAGCTCTTCTAGGGCCTGAGAAGTGGCATTTAAACAAGGGAACAGGCTACAGCATTAATATCTCAGGTATTATACAGTGCTAAGCCTGGGACTCCTACCATAAAGTATGCAAGGGCAGAGTATTTGGATTTAGATAAGAGAGTGATTTCAGGGTTACAATCTGAAGTAAGGGTGTTTTTAACATCTCTCCTGTCTCTCTGCGGTTTGTGTAGCTGGGTGGTTTCAGGGATCAGTTCAGATTTGGAATACATGGTCATAGTTTGGTGTGAGATTGCACAGGGACCTCCTGTAATGTTACCTGGGACATGAGCATAAGTAATATTTCCACAGGAGAAAGTCCATCCTTTAGGGAGACAGACATGGTGGTGGTAACTCATAACTTGGTGAGTTTTGGTACATTTCATAATGGTGCTTAGGGCTTTACAATTTGTGGTATTTTTCCACCATGTAGGGCAAAACAGGGATTTATTATTAGGGTCTCTTGAACAATTACATGAAAAAGACCAACATAGGTCAGCAACTGTCACATTAATTGTCTTCAGGGCTAGAGGGGGCTTGCCTACCAGTGGGCTGAAAGCATAAGAATGTAGTTGTAGAGATTATTGGGGTCTATGGGTATGTAGGTACTTCCTCAAGAGTGAGATGAGGGTAGGTACAGCTATAAGACAATATTGTTATTAAATTAAAAGCCTTTGCTACCTGCATCCATATATTTCCCTGCCATGCACTATTATCTTCTGGTCTCAAGTCAGAGTAGCATATCTGTATTCCCTGTAAGTGTAGGGCTTGTACATAGGCAGTCATACTACCATGCTGCATCTGGAGAGTGTGGGAAAAATAGAGGTCTGTCTTTGGGGCACATCCAAACAGGATCTCCCTGTCTGGAATTGGGGTTGAATCTTATAGAAACGAGTGCTACAGGAAGGCATTCAGTCCAGGCCTTCCCTGTGTCTTGCATGGCTTTTGCAATCTTGTTCTTTAAGGTGCCATTTGCCCTTTCTACTTTCCCACTACTCTGGGGGTGATAAGGGTTGTGGAAGGCCTGGCTGATCCCTAAGGCTTTCATAATTTCTTGCATTATTTCCCCAGTGAAATGACTACCTCTGTCACTTTCAGTCACTTCAGGTACCCTGTATCTACATACCAGTTCCTTTAGAAGCTTACTTGCTGTGACCTTCATTGTGGCTTTCAACACTGGGTAGGCCTCAGGCCAACCTGAAAATAGATCAATGCACCCCAACACATATTCATACACTCCTACCTTAGGCACTTGAATATAGTCTAGCTGCAGTCTTTGAAACGAGTAAAGTGGCCTTGGTGTATGCTTAATTGGTGTTTTTACAGCCTGTCCTGGATTGTTTCTAGCACAAATCATGCAAGCTTGGATGTGTTTAGCTGCTACAATAATAAATCAGAGTGCTACCCAATGGGTGTTTACTGTACTGTTCATGTGCATCTTGAATAGATGTGTAGGTCCATGGGCCATCTGAGCCATCATGGGGAACAACACTCATGGTAGACACAGTCTTTTACGTTTCCTCCACATTCTGTCATCATCAGGTTCTGCATCTTATTTCCTCTAGAGGTCATGTTCTTCCTTGCTTGCCTGTCTTTGTAAGCGCAGCAGTATATTGTAGTCAGCGGCGTCATCTGTAAGAACAACTCGCAGGAAGGTATTACCTATAAAAGGATGTACATGGATTGCTGCTTGTTTGGCAGCCTCGTCTGCTTTGTGGTTTCCTCTTGTAATTTCATCTGTGATCTTCACGTGAGCTGCCACCTTGATGATGCCTACTTGAGTGGGTAGCAGGATAGCGTCCATAAGTGCACTCACGGCTTTAGAGTTCTTGATTGGAGTACCTGCTGAGGTGAGAAAATCACAAGGTCACCAAATAGGGCCAAAATCATGGACTATACCGAAGGCATAGCTAGAGTCTGTGTAAATATTAGCAGTCTTACCAGAGGCTTTTATTTTCTCATGTGCAGAGACTACAGCATACCCAGTGTGGAAATTTCCCTTCTCATCAGCATATCTGGAACCACGTACAAAAAACTCAAAATCTGCGTTAGATAATGGAGAATCAATTACATGCAAAAAGACCTGCTTTCTCTTGTGCCATTAGTGCTGCACAATCATGGGGTACCTGGACGTCAGCTAACTCATCTGGTGAAAGTGAATTGACAAAAACATCAGAAGTACAAGTACCATTCCCACTATCTCCACTCCCCTCTTTTAAATCCAGGGGAAATAATGTAGATGGATTTAACACCATACACATTTTCAGTGGAACATTAGGTGGCATAAGCAAGGCACACTGCATTCTGAGATGCCATGCAGTATGTATGTGTGTTGTTTGAACCTTTGACAGTATGTTGTTGATGTCATGCGGTGTGTATATGGTCACTGGGTTATCTAAGACAATATCAGTGGCTTTGTCCAGGAGGACAGTAACAGCCACCACTGCCCACATGAGGGGGCACCCCTGGCAACAGGGACCAATCTGGTGGAGTAGTATGCTATTGGTGTTTGTTTACCACCATGGTCCTGTGTAAGGACAGATGTAGCATAACCCGATTGTTCAGTACAGAACAGTGTAAAAGGCTTTCTGTAATCTGGAAGATCCAGTACCGGAGCTGAGATGACAAGCAACTTAAAGGTGTAAAAAGCATTTTCTACTGCATGGGTTTACTTAAAGGGTTTGTTTTCGTTGGCAAGACAATCATACAGGGGCTATATGTAGATTGCTGCACAGCGAAGCCAAGGTTGGTAATATGAAACCAGGTCCAGAAATGTACGTTGCTGGGCAATGCTGCGGGTGGGTGTAATATTTTGAACTGCATTCTTTCTACTTTCCATGAGATGTTTTGTGGCATGGGAAATACAATGTCCTAAGAAAATAAAAATTTTAACACATGCTTGTAGTTTCGATCTTGTAGCTATGCAGCCTGCTTGTGCCAGAAATTTCAGCAAGGAAATTGCACATTACATGTTTCCATATCTTTGCAACATAAAAGTAAATTATCGATATACTGCAATAAAACTATGTCATCTGCCCTTGGCCACACATAGAATTTGGGCCACAGCCATACTGTACATAGTGGGTGAGTTTTGTGCGCCCTGGTGCAATACTGTCCAAGTGTACTGCTTGTGTTTATGTGTAAATGCAAATATATACTGGCTGTCGGGATGCAGGGGGACACTGAAGAATGCATTTGCCAAGTCAATAACAGTAAATACCTTAGAGGAAGGTGGTATCTGTGACAACAAGGTGTGTGGATTGGGAACATTAGGGGCAATGAGTTCAGTTACAGCAGTAATTGCCATCAAATCATGTACAATACGATAGACTACAGGTTTCCCGTTCTCTTGCTTATTCTTAATTGGGTACAATGGTGTGTTACAAGAGGAGGTGGTCTGGACAATAACCCCTGCCTGCAGTAATTCTTGCACAGATTGGGAAATTGCATCTTCCTGTGCAGGACTTAGGGAGTATTGTTTTTGACAGGGAGGGGTGGCTCCGGGCAGGAGATTTACTTTGACTGAGGGTACAGAGAGTCTGCCTGTATCTGTCTTCCCTGTAGCCCATAGAGAATCAAGGATTGTGGACAAGTCAATGGCAGGTTATGGCACATGGCTGGGCATAGTGAGAGTTGCCAGAACATTTGAGAGGGATATCATTTGTTTGTTCTCTAAAGGCACAGACAATGTTACTTTTCCAGTGGGGCTATGCTGGATATTTGCATTAAGGGCAGACAGTATATTATTGCCTAGTAGGTTAGCAGGGGCATGAGAGCTGACAAGTAATCTTGTTACAAGGGCAGTAGAGTTGTGTAGCTGCAATCTCAGTTTGTGGGTAAGGGGAATGTCACTTGGGATCCCATCCACCCCTACACATGATAATAGATCTTCAGGCTTCTCATACAGGGACACATATTTTTCCTGCAACATTGATAATATGGTATACCTTTTCTGGTGGTTTCTCTACAACCACATTTAGTTAATTCAACTGCAGTATCATGCCATTTTTGGGCAACTTCTACTAAGTCATTATCTTCTAACCATCCTCTGTAATTTGCCATACATTCCCTCCATATGTGTGGGATTAGAGTGCCCTCTGAGGGCAAGCCAGCTTTTTTAAGTAACCTCTTAATATCCTTAATTGTTTCTCATCCTTTGTACCTTGAAATCAAAGTGAATTATTTCACATGTGCAAGAGTACAGCACTGACATTGTCCCCTGGCAGAAAAAGCATCAGGAGCTGAAGAGGACCTTGCAGAGGGACAAGTTCAGGTACGCAAAAGCTACCACCCCCCTAAGCCCCCTGTTGTCACCATCAGCAATCTGTAAAATATGCAAAAATCCCAGCGGTGACAGAGCAACTTGTCACACTGTTGAAACTGCCCTAACTAAAGTTTCCAATGATTTAATTGCTACTCTCTCCTAATTCTCCTTGACTTTTCTGCTGCTTTTGACTCTGCTGCTCATCAACAACTTCTCAGCCTCCAAAAAAACTTAGTCTACGAGACACTGCTCTTTCAGAGTTCTTCTCCTACCTCTTCCAGCACTCTTTCAGTGTTTCTTTTTCTCGCTTTTTGGGTTTTTCCACAATCCCTCTTTTCAGGTTCTGTCCATGGTCTCCTACTGTTCAATCTATATTGCCTCCGGTGGTAAACTCATCAGCTATATTGGCTTCCAATGTCATTTCTATGCAGATGACATACAAATCGAGCTGTCTTCCTGATCTCTCACCATCCCTCTTGACTTGTTTTTTGACTGCCTCTTTGCTTTTTTCAACTGCATGACTGCTCATTTTCTCAAACGTAACCTGCTCAAAACAGAGCTTCTCATCTCCTCTTTTAAGTGTTGCTACGCCCATGCCTCCAAATCATTGGCATTGCCATCAGCTCTACCTCACAGGCTCACTGCCTAGGTGTTCTCTTTGACTCCAACATCTCCTTCACTGGTCAAATCCTGCCACTTCTATCTCATAAACATAGCTCGCATCAGTCCCTAACACCAGATGTGGATAAGGTGTTGGTCCATGCCATTATCATCTCTCCTGCAATATGCTTCTCAGTGGTCATACACTTTCCCAGCTTGCCCCTTACAGTCTATAATTAATGCTGTGGCGAGGCTCATCTTCTTGTCAGCACGCACCTCCCATGCCTCCCTCCTCTGCCAATCCTTACACTGGCTTCCCATAATATTTAGGGCTCAATTTAAAATTTGAGTGTTTGCTTATAAATCTCTGCGTAACGCTACTCCTACCTACTTATCCTCAAAGATACACAAGTTTGGCCCACCCAGGCCCCCACACTCTGCTGAAGGTCTGCATCTATTCTCTGTTCGAACTCACTCCTCTGATGCCAGCCTTCAAGACTTTTCTAGGATGGCCAAATTCCTATGGAACTCGTTTCCCTGCTCAGTTAGACTCTCACCCAGTCTCAGTTCCTTCAAAATAATTAACTTCTTTAGGAAAGCATGTCAATTAAACTGTTATTAACTTTCCCTCCTATGTCATAAACTAACCCTTCACTGTAAACTATACCAGTAACCTACATTTTTCCATGCATTAAATAAATCCTACACCTACCTTTTGTGCCTCCTTACCCCACTCCCTATAGAATGTAAGTTTTTTTGAGCAGGGTCCTCAACACCCTCTGTTCATGTGCATCCAACATGTCTTGTTGCAAATATATGTCTGTTAGTCTACCTAAAGTACAGCACCACAGAATTTGTTGGCACTTGATAAATAATAATCTAATCTTGCAGTGGTTGACAGGATACATGCTGCTGATGATTCCATTCAACCACATTGGCATTTTAAGGAAAACAGAGTGCATGATTTATAAGTTATATGTGAGAATTTTATTACACTATTTTATTAATCAATTCTCTCTTTCTTCTGTGAAATATATGATGGAGCACTGACAATCTGAGACATTTTTTTTAGCTGCGATTAAAATGAATTTTTGCATTAATGTTTCTCTTCCAAAATGAATACTTAGCACATGACGATTTTCACAAAAAAGGAACAGTGTATTTATATTTTAATTTCTCTACATTCACCCAACGCAGCATCATTGCATCCCATGTAAAAGAAAAAAAATAATAAAGAGTACATATGTATTCACTGTTGTTATGGCTCTTGAAATTGTGAATAATAATCATAAATAATGATTCATTTTGTTAGAAATATCTTTAACTCTGACTTAAAAAGAACTCTTACATGTGTAATATATTCAATTATATTGCTCCCAACTCTCTTACTTCCAATTGTGGTTTTGTCTGACATATAATACTGTATTGAATACAACTTATATTTTGATGTGTTATGGCCCTCAGCTGACTGAAGAAAATAAAATTGAAATAGAAAAATTAAAATGATCTATTAAACAAGATTATGCATTCACTGCTTGTACATGTTATTTCAGCTTACGTTCAGTAACTTCGACAACAAAACCTTTATGATATAAATGGAATCTAAGCTCCATGGTGTGTGGCTCTGAAACCAATTACATCATTTCAGCTAGCATATGTAATATGTTCTGACAGTTTGTCAGCTTAAAGTTAAATGGAGCATGTATGGTATATTTGATCAATATATTCCAGTGTTGTTTTTTTATTGTTATTCATTTTGCGTATTTCTCATTTTTAAGACTTTATTCGGTTGCTAATATTTCAAATGTGATATTTTTTGTTTAACCCCTTAAGGACCGCGGACGGTTCAGGACCGTCATCAGCATTTTCCCATTGCCGACCGCTGACAGTCCTGAACCGTCCTAACAGTCTTAGGTACTTACCTGATCGCCGCCGCTCCCCCGGCGGCGATCAGTGTTGCTCCCATTGTGGGGAGACTGCCTGCAGCCCAGACAGTCTCCCCACACTGGATTAGGACCCCTGTGGCCATGTAATCGCTCAACAGAGCGATCACATGGTCACAATAGGTGTCCATGTGTCTGCCTGCAGGGGGACTGCCTGTGCTGACAGGCAGTCTCCCTGCTAGTGTAAAATAAATAAAAAAATAAAGTTAATGTTAATAAAAAAAAATTAAATATGTATATATATATATATATATATGATATATAGACATATATTATATGCATATAATATATGTCTATATATCATATATATGTCATACTAAGTGTATTTTTATATTAATATGCACATATATTAATACAAAAATATACTTATAATTAAATTACACACGTATATATAATATATATAATAACTATATATATTGTATATATATTATTATAAAATATAAATAATAAGTAATTTAAATTAAATTAAAAAATTGAAAAATAATAATAACATTTTTTTCTATATAAAATTTTATTCTAACTGTATTTTAAAATTAATATATATATATATATATATCTATATTTATATCAAAATACACTTAGAATGAATTTGTATATATATCTATGTATATATAAATAAATAAAAATAATACGAAATATACATATGTCCATATACAAAATTACATAAATAATTATATAAATATACACGTAGACTTCAAATATATAAATATGCATATATATTTAACTTCTACGTGCGTATTTATGTAATATTTTTACATAATTAAGTAATTTTATTGATTGCAATTTGA